CTCAGCTGATGCAAAGTACTGTTTGGCACTTTTCAAAGGACAATCAATTGGAAAGGACTTCCTGTTAATCAATATGAAACAGATACACGTCACATCCCCACAAAGCACGCTACAATGTGAAACAGCTTTTTAGAGCAGCAGCTTTTTGTGGAGGGAGTTTGGACATGCAGTTTTTCTCTTCAGCCTGCATTTCTGACAGCTGCCTAGTACCTTTTTCCCCAGGCTTCTCACATTTGTGCTGAGATACATAAATGTCTTCTCTTTCTTGCTCCTTAACCACTTCACAATCTTTCCATTTTTTAAGCAAAGAAAGATAGAAGCCGTATTTTGTATCATCCATAGCTGGCGTTTTTCCTGTACATGGAAACAGTTTCCTGTTATCAGAAGATGACATCTCTATTTTACAGTAAAAGCCTCCATCTTCTTCAGTTCTCTTTACTCCCCCATCTCAGAAACTGAACTTATCCAATAGCTTGCAAAGAAAAATAGTAAAATAAAGATGGTTTTGCTGTTTCCTGTTGACCAACACCACTGAGACCCCAGGGAGTATCACGCTGGCTAATTCAAGATGGAAACAAGCACTTTGATATAGTTAAGTGGGAAGAAAGGATGCAGCATTAACCTTGGTGTAGAAAATCCTTGCCACAGCTGCCTGCTCTTCATGGTGGAATTCACAGTGATAGAGGAATCTGTTTTGAATATGGGAAATTGTGTTCCATGCATGTTTATTTGGCTTTTGGGTTTTTTTTCCCCTTACTAAGCTTAACTATGTTGGCTCCCTTGCATTACCTTCCCTACCTGTAAAAGCATTTAACAAAACTCCCTTGATGCGGGGCTAATACAAGAGGGCACACTGCGGCTCCCTTAATAACTCACCGAGAAAGCTGGATATGCCTTCTTTGCACTTACCTCAAACCGCCTCTCCCTTTCTCCAAAACAATGTACCCCTGGGGGGGTGGGGGGGGAAGCCCTTAGCCAGTAACACAGCACTATGCAGAAATGAGAGAAAAGGCTTTAAAATGGCCTGTATTCACAAAGAAAATCAAGGGGAAGACAGTTTGTGTCAGACTATGGGAATGAAGGCGGCAGTATACGTCTGGATGACTGTGGAGGCCTGAAGGAAGGAGGAGATGAAGGAGCAGCAATGGGAACTGACCTACTGGTTCAGACTGGAGGTGCCCCTAAATCAGTACAGAACACTGCACACTGGCGAGGGCTCCTTGTGACTCCTTATTACAGAGGCTCCCTATTGTGGTTTAACCCCAGCTGGCAACTAAGTCCCACCCAGCCGCTTGCTCACTCCCCAATCCCCTGTGGGACAGGGGAGAGAATCAGAAAAGTGAGAAAACTCGTGGGTTGACATAAAGACAGCTTAATAGGTAAAGTAAAAGCCACGCATGCAAGCAAAGCAAAATAAGGAATTCATTCACTGCTCTCGATTGGCAGGCAGGTGTTCAGCCATGCAACAGCAGGATAGCTTCCCATCCCTGACATTAGTGAATACCAAACAGAGAAAAATGCAAGAAGCCCATGGGGATATGTTGTCTTCAGTCCTGTCAGTCATAGATGTGACAGCTGGGACCTTTAAAGACTGTCAAAGGAGGGAAATCAAGGCACTCCGAATGCCAAGTCTGTCCACAGCATAATTAACATGTCATGTATGGTCTGCTCAGAAACGCAGCACTTGCTGCACTTCCAACTGCCAGACTATCAAAAATGCTGCTTGGCTGGTAATTCCTGCACCTTGAAATAATGTCTGAGTTACTGCAAAGCCAAGAAAAAGGCAAACTGTAGTGTTTGGGAAGACACAAATCAGTTTGTAGCCCATGGGGGAAGGAGAGCTAACCTACTGCAGAGGCTGTTGGTACTCCTGCTCCAGAGGACTGTCTCTGGAAACACCTACCCACCCAGTCGTATGGTTCAAAAAGCACACCCGTTTCACATGGGCAAAACACCTGAAACAAAAAGGATGGAGGCAAGTTCTGCAGGGAATTCATAAACCAAGACAGGTTTGGAGACCTCAGCAGCTGGACCGTGCTCCCCACTAACCTGCAAGAACCAGTCTGAGGCAGGTGACCTCAAGTGCCAGGTAAAAGGGAAAATTTCTCTCCCCCATTTCTGGCAGCGTACCTTGGGCAAACTTACAAACATAAAGCAACAAGCAATGGAAAGAAAATCCCCATGTTGTGAAAGCCAGCCTACACAGAGAGGCATGGCAATTTTCTCCCTCTTAAGACAAAATGGATGTGCATGGTTTAGTGCAGGAGGATCCTAGTACAGATAAAATACTTGGGGCAACCTAACCAAATGCTCAGGTTGAGCAAAATCTAAGCTTTTATTTTAAAAAGGTAGATCTGTAACCATCATGACTAACCAACACAACCAGGCCAAGGACAGCACCTGAATCCACCGACAGCCTCAGAACAACAATTCAAGTATACCTGAGCAAACTTGCTATCGCATTCCTTAGAAGTACAGTATTGCTGCCAGCACAGGCTCTTCCACGGCCGATCTCTGACAGATCAATCAGGGAAGGCACTGGAAAGGGAAACTCAGAGCGTGAGGTCCAGGTGTTACTGTAAGGAACGACGGACTCATAAGCACAGGGTGAGACACAGGGAAAGAAGAGAAAAAGCAAGCATGGGAAAAAGGAAAAAAGAGCTTTGATAGTGGTAAGTCTGGTAAAGGAGCAAATTTTTACTGAATGTAACAGTTAAGATGAAGATATACAAGAAAGTTTTATCTATAGACTGGCAGAAAATTTAAAATCATGATCATGTAAAAATAACCTATTTCTGCACAATAAATATAGCACTTGCCCTCCTCTTTCAGGTTGACTTAAAATGATGCAAGTTAAGGATATCTTACAAACAACAAAGAATCTTAAGAAAATATTTATGAAGGAAGTTTTCCTTGCAAATTTCTATTTCTGAACACGTGATTTGGGAAAAAAAAAACAACACAAAACTCTTCAATGATACCACTGACTCCTTAAATTTAGGGGACCTATAGTCCAATTCTTGTCTCAAAATCATTTTCTTGTCTTGACAAACAGAAAAGACAGCAGCCCTGTGGTTCCATTAAACAAGGACAGCTTTATCAGGAGTTCCTGCATCAGAACAAAGGGAGAAAAACCCAAAGCAGAATGAAGAAGTGAGATGGATGCTTTGTGCTCCTGATCATTGAAAAGGAGTTTCTGAGCCATGCAAAGAGTTCTCACCACCCTGGTCACATGGCACTAAAGACAAGAGATAGCACTATCTGAACACATGCTCAAAATGCTTTGGAGAGAAATGGTTATATCCAAACTGCTGCTGTAGACAGTAGGTTCTTGCTGAGATTTATAATCAGCTGTGTGAATGAGCACAGAGACAGAACACATTTGGCTAGATCCGTTTTTGTTAAGACCTGTCAGTGGTACAGGAAAGGAATAAAATTGCCCTTATAATGAAAATGGTCTCGTTTGCAGCTCTGTGATTAGTATTTTATCATGAATCTTTGATTCCTTGTGCTTGGGCTGCTACTGCCGCTTCTCTGGGATGGCATTAATGTACCATTTCTCCATGGCTCCTACTTACCTCAAACAGTCTCCGCTACAAATAGGTTTTTCACCCCTGGCCTGTGAAATTTCTTGAATTATCTGTAAGTGATTTTCAGCCACAATCACAGCAGGTCCAGGATTCTGCCCAAATGTTATAATAAAATATGGGTCAACTGCGCTATATGCAGTAGTGTGAAGTATGATAGGGGTTTTACTGAAACTTCTTTATAGAGACCTATAAAAGTTGAGCATAGCTTCATCATTCAAGAGAAGCACACTCATCTCATGCAATCAAAATAATCAAAAGTGATTTCACAGAAAGGAGTATGTATTTTTAAAAAGTTATGCTTAACTAAGGTCTAGCACCAGGCAAAAAACCATGAATATTTAAGAAAGTCAGCAGCACATTTTAAAAAAACAACAGTAATAATTAGCACACACTAGCTTCTATTTTCAAAGCATTTTACAAAAACATGAATTAATTAGGCCTCACAACACCCTTGTGAGATAGTTAAGTATCATTAGTCCCATTTTAGAGACAGGGAAACAGGCATGGAGAGAGTACAACCTGTTCACCACCCCACACGTCAAATCCAGGAACAGAACACCAGATTTTCCAGTTTTCTGCCACACGTGGTCTGACCTCTTAAAAGATGCTGGTCTTTAAATGAAATTTGTTTCCTCTCATCCCTTTTAAGACACTTGACCTCATTTCAGTCTGATATGAAAACGTACTCGTCAAGAGCTATTCATGATAGACAAGTGGAATTAGGAAAGAACATTTTTTTATAGTCTGTGTGTTGCTGGAAGCTGTTTAAGAAAAGACTTGACATCGGTGCTTCCATACTGCCAGAGTCAAAGAGTGTCACTTCTCATCAGGCATCTGCCACCAGGAAACTCACTGAGGTCTATCTGCAGTGCTGATACAGCTCAGCATCTGTGAAAAAAGGTAAGGTTCCTTTGCCCCTTCTAAACAAAGAATTTCTGTCTGGCAGGGAGTCTTCTCTGAGGAGAACTCATATGAGTACAACTGCACTGAAAGCATAGAAAGACTTTTACCAGGAGACTCTCAAGGTGCAGCCAAGGGCATAGATGTATCTGTCAGAAAACCTGGAAGTCACAGAATCATAGAATGGTTTGGTTGGAAGGGACCTTAAAGACCATTCAGTTCCAACCCCCCTGCCATGGGTAGGACACCTTCCACCAGACCAGGTTGCTCAAAGCCCCATCCAACCTGGCCTTGAGCGCTTCCAGGGATGGGGCATACACAGCTTCTCTAGGCAATCTGCTCCAGTGCCTCACCACCCTCACAGTGAAGAATTTCTTCCTTGTATCTAATCTAAATCTTCCCTCTTCCAGTTTAAAGCCATTGCCCCTTGTCCTATCAGTCCATGCCCTTGTAAAAAGTCCCTCCCCAGCTTTCTTGTAGGCCCCTTTAGGTACTGGAAGGCTGCTATAAGGAAATGTTCATATATTGTGCTCTGCGTTAAGAGAGATGGTCTGGAGGCATCAGACATCCTGGGGGGTAGAAAATAACTCTCCATAGTCACTTTGAGAAGACAAGTTCTCTTGCATTGAACTAGTCAGTGACACACTAGGATTAAAAATTCCAAACCACCTGAAAATTCAAGTCAACAGATTTAACTCTATAAAACACCAAATCTGGCAGATCTACTGCCACCTGTTTGCAAACCCAGGCCCAGATGTTAGTGGAGACATAAAAATAAAAACAGTCTTTCCACCTTCAGTTACATATGTCCATTAGACACTATCTAGCGTCCAGGAAGTTAGTTTCACGACAGCTTGATCTGAAGATCCTCCCCGTACTTTCGGATCAGCTTCATGTGGTTATGGTCCACTGACCATTGCTCTGGGAGGTGCTTGGGCTGCATGCTGTCCAAGAAATGCTGTCGCCAGCGTCTCTCCAACTGCATAAGGGAGCGCAGGCCTCCTTTAGCAAAACACTGTACCACCTTCAGTCCATGTGGCATGTAGCTCTCATTGCAGATCCTGCCAGGACACAAGCAGAGTTTATTTTCACACAAGCCCGCTGTCAGACTCTAGATCTGTCTCCACTGAACAGCAAGACACTGAAGATACTTTCAGCTGCAGACTTTAATTACAGACACATGGTAACCTAACCAAGAGGCAGAGTTTTAAGCTTCGCTTCAATGCCAGAGTGCTTTCTGGAACACAGTTACACTGGGAAGCTCATTCCTCTGAACTGAGAAAGTGTTCTTCTTTTATAGCAATACTAAACAAAGCTCTAAAGGTCCATTACAAGCTCCTCAGGAGACAGACAGCAAATTTCTCAAGGCAAGAACCACATGACACCCCAGAGCCTCGATCCTGCCACTGAATTCCCTGCCTGGATAGGTTCTGAGTTATAACACTGGCACATTACAAACAACAGTGAGCATAACAAGGAGAAAATACTGACTTCATGCAGAGACCAGACAGTAGTTAAGAAAAGATATTTGGGGAGGCTTTGAGAAAGAGGAGAAGAGACTTCCAATATGATTGTCTTTCAGTCTCTGCCCCTGATCTGTCCTCCAAAAGAAGTATAAAATAGTGGAGGGGAAGGTTATAACACTGGCACATTACAAACAACAGTGAGCATAACAAGGAGAAAATACTGACTTCATGCAGAGACCAGACAGTAGTTAAGAAAAGATATTTGGGGAGGCTTTGAGAAAGAGGAGAAGAGACTTCCAATATGATTGTCTTTCAGTCTCTGCCCCTGATCTGTCCTCCAAAAGAAGTATAAAATAGTGGAGGGGAAGATGGAGAGCAAGAACAGAAGGAGATTGCTGGAATAAAGAGGGGAAGAAACAAGAGCTGCAGTTCACAGACTGCTGCTGGGTTGAGGGGAGAAGGGAGTAAACAAAACCAAAAACACAGTAAGAAATGTAGAGTGTGCTTGCCTGTTTACAGCCTTAAGCTACAGCACAAACCATTTACCTTCTTCCTATCCTTGCTTTCTAGTTAAATGTATCAAAGTACTATAAATCCAGATTCTGCAGGCTTATACAAGTGATAAAGTTATGCTTTTAGAGGCTCATTTTTCCTGCGCAGATCAACTTCTAGTAGTCTCAAATTCAGACACTCCTTAACTCGACACCATTATTTTATGGAAGATACATCAATATCCCAAGGAGTCCAGCAATGGGTTTTGTCTTATTTTCATTAAAAAGCTTTGCAGAGGGGAAGTCAGCATGTGTGATCCTCAGCTCTGCAAATCCTGCTGGATTTTATTTTATTTTGCTGCAGTAATGTTTACCCAAGGCTCTGTGTGTAGACAACTTTTTGTTGAACCTCTGTGCCAACAGAAATGACTAAAATGTTACATCTACTGATGGGCTGCTTGTACCTGGTTTCCAGACCAGCTGCTTCCTGGAGAATCTCTTGGGTAACTGCCTCTGTGTTAAAGAAGTCCTTGATGCTTTGCAGAAGTTCTGCCCTTCGGGGGTCAGGCAGACTGTCTGCATTCAGCAGGGCTCGGGCCCCTGAGCGCACCTGCCTTCTCAGAGGGTCCTCCAGCAGACGCACCCCTTCCTCGGAGCCGATGGGGGCACCAAACTCCTCAGCCAGCTGCTGCTTGAGATGGTTGTCATAGTAATTGGAGATGGCATGGCAGGAGGTGCAGAGCAGGAGCACGTCATGGGAGTTGTGGTCCTTCATCTGGATGGGGAAGTGTCTTCGGTATTCGTGAGGAACAATGTTCTTCCTAGGGAAGACAAACCAGCCAGCTCATTACATTTGCCTGGAGCTGCTACTCCCCAGTTCCTCCTCTTCCTGGCCCACAAAGGGTCAACCAATACCAAAAATCCAGGAAAACAAAGATCACCGGGGTCATGACCCTCAGTGCTGCAATATGTTCTGCAACTTCTTTTTATTTGTACTTCTCTCCAGAGATTTCCTGCGTTTCTCTTTTTTTTCCCTTCCAAAAATTCATCACTTTCAATTTAAAAAAAAAAAAAAAAAAAGTGATTCAAAGTGATTCATACTGTAAAAAAAAAAAAATTAAGCAATGCACTATGAGAAGCTGTCCTGGTTTGACTAAAACAGGACCAATTCTCTTCCTTCAGTTAAGTTAGTTCTAAGTAACTGCACTTTCTGAAGCTGATTACTTGTTTTGCAAACAGTGTCTGCTTTTAGAGTTGATGGTACTTGATGTTTGTAGTTATTGTTAAAGCAGTGCGATTGTTACGCAAAAAAGGGCCCACTTTTGTGCTCGTTCCTATGGGAACCAAGGACACTGTGGCCTCTCTGTGGCCCATGGGTGGGGAGAAAGGGTCGCACCCACAGAAAGTGGGTCGCACCCACAGAAAGTTGCAGATGGGACAGGTGACCAAGGACTGACCAAGGGGGTATTCCATCCCATACAGGTCATACTCAGTATAAAGCTCAGGGATGAGGGGGTCAGGCTCTTTCTTTCATGGCCGGCACCCTTGTGGGACCCCACTCATACTCCTGCCTCCAACTCGGATCCGTGTGTTCCTGAATTCAGTTCCCATCTGC